GTCCTGCCCCTCTCAGCTGTGGTGCTGTTGGGTTGTTGTGTCATGCTAGAGCGGTCTGGAAAGTCTATGAACCTCTTGAATTCTCTAACATCCTAGGCCCTATGTGCTTTGTTCTTGTCTAGCTTGAAACCTAAACCCTCAATCTAAAACCCTGAACCCTTGCTGGCTGTAGTGTGTTTTTATGGTCTGTCCCTGTCCGACTTTTTGTGTTGACTCTGTTGAATATGCCTATGGTTTCTTGGCGGGGATAGTTTGGGTGGGGGGGGGCAGTGACTGAGGGAGTTTGTGCGGTGGTGGAGGTTTTGGGTTATGGGTCGATGTGCTTGGGGTTGTGGGCTTGGGGCGGGAGAGGGAGGATAAAGGTGGTAAGGGGGGGGCTGTGTTACTATTGGGTGGGACGGGTTTTGTTGGAGTTGGGAATTTCTGAGGCTTGTGAGGGCACAATGTGTGGGTTGTCCTGTGGCGTCTTGACTTGTTGTGGTTAGTATGCGTGTGGGTGGGTTGGCTTGGGGGGTGTAGTGAGTTGTCTGCTGGGCGTTGTTGATATGTTTGAGCCTTGAGTCTCATAGTCTCCCCTTCTCTTCCGTTATATTGTGTGTCCTCTTTCTTTCATGGCGGGTTGGTGTTGCTGCTGTTTCTTTTTGGAATTATCTTCTTCTATTTTGTCTTGTTTTTCCATCTCTCCCGATCCTCCTTTTGGAAGTGCTGTCCTTGGTCCTTTGCTTCTTCATGTCACTAATTCTTGTTTCCTCTTACCCTCCCCTATTCTATGGTTGCGCTTGTTCTTCCTCTGAGTTTTCCTTTACTGTCAGTCTAAGTCCATTGCGCTTGTGCTATTCTGGCTTGTTTCTTGGGCTGCCTGGATCCCACCAGCTCGTGAATTGAAGGGTTTTTCCGTTTATCTTTGCCAGTAGCCCCTCCTTCAGCCATTGCTGTTCAAATTCTTTCTGTATTTTAGTCCTCTTCTGATCCTCTATTTAATTGTCCATTCTCCCAAGGGTTCGCTTCCATTCCACTCTAACCCCTGTTTCTACCATCTCCCTTGCCTCTTCCCATGATTCATTTGCCGTTATCTTCTTTTTTCCTATTGTGTTTCCACATCTGGCTCTCCATATTACCCATAGGGTTGTTCTTCGCAGTAACTCTGTGATCTTCTTATCCTCCTCAGGGATTAAGCCTTCTCTGTCTATTGCTGTTAGTAGGAGGAATTGGTCCGTCGGGAATTCTTTATTAGATAGATTGGACCAAGCTTTTTTGCACTTGAGCCAGAGCGCTTTGGCATGTTGGCATTCCAGTAGGCAGTGAATTAGCGTTTCCGCTACCTGTTCTTTGCACATTTGGCAGTGTGCTGAGTATTCTGTTCTATCCTCTTTTCTCCTCTTTGTTTCTAACCATTCATTGGTGGGGACTGCCATGTAAATTATCAACCATTGTAAGCTTCTCACTTTCTGAGGCCAGATCGTTGCATAGTAGGACCATGGGATTGTTTGCCAGAAAGCGGGGTCTATTTGGAGTTTTTTTCCCCACCTTGCCGCTATGATCGGTTGTGGATTTTCTAGTTTGCGTCTTATCTTATACCCCTTTTTTACTGAGTATTCGTGCAGCGGGATCCACTTTTTGGCCCTTCCTCTCCCCCTGTTCTGATACCAGCCCCACTCGTTGGGGTCGACTTCTAATTGCGATATGTCTTTATTTGGTCTCAACAAACAGTTGGGGAGTTCTGTCTTCTTTCTTCCTTTCCTTAGTCCTTTTTGCTCGCTTTTAAGTTCTCTGACCTTCCTCAAGTCTTGTAGGGCAAAGTCTAGTTTGATTAGGGCGTCTTTTCTGACCTCCACTATTGCTTTATCTGTGTTCTCCAACTCATGTACTTCAAATTTGGCTATGCGTCTATCAGCTCCCTCGTATCTTATGAAACGAAGGGCTACTGAGGGTGTTTCTTGTGTCTTCAGTGTTGCCCAGTCACCTTTCTTCCAAACTATACTTCTTTTTAGCGTTGATCTCCAAGCTATTGGGATACTGTCTATCAATACCTCTAGGTTTTGCTGTAAATTGTGATGGCCTCTCAACTTAGTTCTAAGGTCTCCTTTTGATTTCCACTTGCTGTTTCCCTCATCCCATATGTGTTCGATCTTCCATATGCCTCTCTCTACCCAAGTCCTCCATCTCTTCCCCCTCGCCTTGAGAGACCATGTCTTACCATTCTGGTCTTTCAAGAAGTCATTCCCAAACAGCGGTTGTCTCAAAATTTCTTCTTTTGTTCTTGGACTTCTCCTTCTTTGTGGGAAAGCCTCCCTCCATGCTGCTATCAGTTTTGCCCAGTGGCCGCTTGGGGGATCTGGGTTCGGTAACTGGTTCCTTTGCCTAGGTCTGCCTCGTTCTCTTCCGGGTGTCCAGTATCTGTTCATGATCCATGAGTGGCCTTCTATGCTATCATGTGTTTTAAAGGGAAGCAGGTTTCTTATTTGGTATAGGGCCATATCTTGCCATGGTAGTTCCGTTTTCAACAACAGTCTTAAGACCCACTTTGCCTGGAGAGCTTTGTATTCCGTTACGGGATCTATGAGACCGATTCCTCCTTCCTCTATTGGGTTGGTTACATATTTCCAGGCTACTTTGGATATGAATTGGTTCTTGGATGCGTCCCTTGTCCATAAGTAGGCTGCTGCCTTTCTCTTTAAAGTCCTTCGTGAAGCTGGTGGGTGGGTCCCAGATTGACGCCGTGTACCAAACCATGGAGAAGATCGACGAATTGACTATCGCCCTACCCGTCAGTGATGTATATATCTTTTGCCATCCCTTATATTTATTCATGACGACTGCGAGTAGGCTCGCTGCTATTGAGTTGCTGGTCCCTGTCAGGGTAACAGTGATTCCCAGGAATTTGAAGGGGACTTGGTGGTCCATCCATTGTATTCCCTGCATTGATTCATTGCTTTGGGGGGGGGTTGTTTCTGAGATCCACCATCCTATTGTTTTCTTCCAATTTATCTTCATTTCAGACGCTAGTTGGAAGGCTTCCATAGCCTTAGTTAGTGATAGGAAGGATGAGTCTGACGCTCTTATGAGGGGTGTTAGGTCATCAGCGAATAACATCACTGTTGGAAGTTGGATCCGCTTATTTCGTCCGTCATCCAGGGTCTGTAGCCTTTCTATGGAGGGGTCTTTCCGCAGAAAGGCGGCTATTGCTTCCATGACAAAGAGGAATATTGGAGCTGCTAGTGGATCTCCTTGCCTTAYCGATCTYGTCATTCTGTACGAATCTGATAGATGGYCATTGACTTGGACTYTCCCCCTTGCGTCCGCATACAGGACTCTCACCCAGCTCCTAAAAACTGTCCCCACTCCCATTTTCTCCATGCATTGCTGCAGGAMGTCCYAGTTGACTTGATCGTAGGCTTTTTCGRAGTCAAAGAAGAGGATGGCTGCTTGTAACTTCTTGTCTCTTATTAACTTGGTTGCTTCATTCAGACAGATTACGTTGTCCAATATGAATCTTCCTGGGATGAATCCTGTTTGATCTAAATGGAAGCATTTATCAGTCACATTTCTTATTCTGTTGGCTAGGACCTTTGCTATTATCTTATAGACTAGTGTTAGTAAGGATATTGGCCTATAATTTCTTATGTCCTCCCTTTCCCCTTTCTTGTATAATAGTGTTACTACTCCCGTGCTAATGTCTTCTCCTAATGTCCCTCTCTTATGTGCTTCTTGGTAGAATCGCAGGAGATCCCTCCCTAGCATAGGCCAGTGCTCCTGCCAAAATTCTTTCGTTAGCCCGTCGATGCCTAGGACCTTATTTGGTTGCATGGAGTCGAGTGCTTCATGCACTTCTGCTAGCGAGAGGTCTTTGTCTAAGTATGCTGCTGCTTCTGGCTTGATACAGGTGTCAAGGTGTCTCAGGAACTTTTCCCTCGCCCTGTTGATAGCTCCACTATTTTCTCCTGTTGATTGTGATGTATATAATTTTTTGTAGAAGTTCGTGGCTATTTGTAGGATTTCTTTCGGTTGTTTTTTTAGGGTTCCCCCTTCATCCCTCAGTTCTAGGACTCTGTTGTTTCTGCAGTTGGATTTGATTCTTTGGAAAAAGAACTTAGTCATTGATTCGTTACTCTCCCAGTCCTTTATTCTTGCTCTGATGCTCAGGCCCCTTCTCTTCCAGTCTGCCCATTGGGCCAGGGGAGTGGAACTTCATCTCCTGGGGTGGCGCAATTCTGGATACGTGCAATGACTTGCTGTTTTCTGCCGCCTGTGACCCGTCGACCCGAGGCTGTAACATAGGTAGGTTAGTTTGTCTTTTGTTTGGCTGAGGGCTAACCGAGAGACCTGCCTGTACGGAAAATTTGTGAGGGACCTAACTGTAAATATGGAAAAATATAGGCCCTACTAACTAGAATTTCCTACAGCTACCCTAACTGGAATAGCAGGCCCGGGCTACCCCTAGGACAGACAGGCCCTAAAGGCCTGTGCTGATAGACGGTCCTATAGCCTATAGCCGGGTAAGGTAGCGGCCGAGAGGCCGAAACTGAAACGGTACCGGTCGGTCCAGTCCGTCCGGTCTAGGTCTAGGCTAGGGTAGTGTAGTTCTATAGATAGGTTGTAGACATCTGTTCGGGGCTTTTGGCAGTTGGTACCGTGTACATCGCTGCTGTGCAACGCATGAACTGGAGTGGTGACTGCTTCAGCGTGGGAGAAGACGGACATAGCCAGACCTGCGAAGCGTCGGCCATAGCTGGGGCCTGCGCTGCTCTCTGACAGCACGCGGGGCTGTTCAGAGGTCTGGGCTATCGGGAGTCTGCTGGAGGCAAGAGAAGTTGGTGCCCTACTGAACCCTCCTCAGGAGTTGGGTATCAGGGTGTATGGTGCTGCAGCCATAGCTGCAGCTTCCTTCCTCAGAGATCATCTTTGTCAGGAGAGGTGGTGCTGCTACAGACTTCCATCTGGGAAGTCCTCTGGCACGTCATCATCATCAGATACTGTGGCACTGGTCTTCTTCTTCATCCTCTGAGAGGCGCTTGGCCTCAGAGGCCTGTTTCAGGGTGGCGCTTCCCTCTGGAGGCAGTATCTGGGTGGCGCTGGTTGTTTCAGGGACTCAGGGATAGTATAGCTGTTACTCAGGGTTGGGGAGTAAAGCGCTGCTCATTCCTGAGCAGCGCACCATGGTCCTGGGGTTATCCTGACATTTCGAGACTCTGAGTTTAATAAACAGTGTGAATACTGTGTGTGGACTATCATTGCTTCATTGTTTCCTGGATGTGATCTACTCGGCTTTCCTTTGTGACTGGTTGTGAGGATTCTGTGGAGCGAATTGCACTTTCAGTGTTATCTGTCATATCGCGTGGACAAGTCTTCCGCTGTGCTTATCTCTCCCTGTGAGGTGTGATACTCCCATGCTCTCCCCTTCCTTCTGTGTATGTATGGGCATACCTGGAAGTCTATGTGAGCGAGTGTTGGTCTTCTGACAACAAACAACCAGGTTCATAACATACGACTCTGGATTTTCACAATCGGCAGGTCTGGGGTTGTGTGGGCCAAACAGCCCGGCTACCTGCCGTCTTCACACAAAATGCAATGCAACCTGATTGTGAAATTGTGAATGTATAAAACGGTCGATGCGACTTGGTTCTCTAGGAACGACGAGTCGTTCCTGGAAGTCCATCATCATACTCAAGGTTTGACGAGTAGAATGCTGCGCAGGCAAGCGGTAGATGCACGCAAGCTGTCGGCTTTTCGCATGAATTAAACAGCCCTCCCCCCTCCGCCCCCCTCCCCTTACCCTCTCTCCTTAAATGGAACTGTCGTATCGACAGCAGAGATGTTGGGAGTGGCTTCAGCTGAGAACTGGCACTACCTCTTGGCCTACGTCACGGAATTTGGGATTTCCCTTTTCAGGCTTTCAGCTGCAGGTGATCAGATTCCCTGATGTATATTCAAATCACAGCTGGTTAATGTACCCCCACCTGCACCCCCCTCCCCCCCGTCCTCCCGGCCCCTTTTTTTTCCTTTTTTATGTGTACGGATGGGATTTTAGAAGATGATTCTCACCAGTATCGGCAGTAAAAACCAGTCAAGATTTCTCAAAGTTTCTCAAATTTCTCAAAACTAATTCAACAAATCATGGTGATCTGAGTTTTTATTGCATGAGAACTTGGCAAAGGAATTGCTTCCTTTTCTTTTCTTTTCTTTTTTTTTTAAGGGAAGTGCAGCAAGTGCTACCTTTGTTCATGAGTTTATTTAACTTTATAATCTTTATTATTGTTTTGTATCATTTGTTACCTCAGTCAATATGTTTTTGGGTTTTGACTTCAGAGGTTGAGGACATCCAAAGAGAGAGAAAAAAAAGGGGAAGAAAAAGCACGTGGTTGGGGTTTGGATAACATTTGACATATAGACCGCACATAACATTTGAAATTTTTAATAAATGCAGTTGCGAATATCTGCGTGGATGGGATATCTTTTCTTTCGAAATGTGTGGAAGTTCCTAGAAAGTTGATGAGAAAGTAACGTAACAGTGCGTCGCACATTCACAAGCAGGTTTATTGGAGCGCTTGGCATTCGCGGCGGGGAATCGGCAGTCAGGATCATCGAGACAAATCAATTCAAACATTTGAGTCATATTTCACTTTTCTTTCGCCCGGGAAATGATGCCGCCGTCAAGCAGTATCTGGCGGGGCGCCTTGCAGAATTTAAGGTAACAACAATAAATTTGAATAAAAGCATGTCATAAACCGTAGAAAGTTTTCCCGTGAAATAAACTTGTGCGCATGGTGAGTGAGGATTTGTACATGTATAGCATTGTATGTCTGCATTTTAAACTAGAGAGTCATAGAGACTCGTAAAGAGTAAATGAGGATTTGTATAAGTGTACTAACATAGTATGAAAGGGCCTTGCTCAGTTGGTAGACCCATGACCTGTTGACATACAGAGACGTGAGCTCAAAATTCAAATCAAGATGGAACTTCAGTCTTATCCTCTTTTTTTTTTTTCCTCAATTATTTATTTCAGAAGGGACGCTGAGCCCGGTTCTCAGCACGTGCTGCTCCCCACGAATACATTGGAGCTTGTGTTGAAAAAGGGCAAAAAAAGAAAAAAAGGAAAAAAAAAGAAAAAAGAAAAAAAGAAAGGGGAAAAAAAGAAGAAAATTTGTGAAGTAGCCGGTGCCGGTCAGTTTCACGATGATATCTCAAGGGCACCCTTTTGGAAAAGAGAAGTGTACTTAGCTTCCTAAGTAACTCGGCCCCGGGGGGGAGGGGAGAGGGAAGGGGGGGAGGTCCCATAAGCCAAGAGGATTGGGTTTAGCACCTGAATTTGGACATGTTCATGGAGAGGTGCAGAAAAGAACGCTTATTCGTACTAGGTTTTTAAGTGCTTGCTCCGGACCAGTTAAAATTGTATAAGCCGTGATGGATCTGCTTTTCCGTATCTCGGCACAGAACACATCCAGATTCATGCGCTTAACCCACAATCCTCTATGCTAGTGGAACCTCTTCCTGTGTTTGTTTGAGTTTCAGGATTTTTTTTTTTTTTTTTTTTTTTTAAATATAAATACAACTGTCTTCTCGTCATATGGGGGACAGCTGTGTTTTTTGACTCCGTATTTTCTTCTCTCAATTTTATCTCACACTCTAGACTCCTGCCTAAGCGCATCGAAGGAGGACTACCTGTACACCACCTACCTATTTGTCGGTGCGCTATGATTCTCTAATAATCTTCAGCAAAGTTCTTTGAATTCTTTCTGCAGTGTTCTCTACACAGCATTGTCTGCCGCTGGGGCCACATCAAGACCCCCTCTGGTGCCCCCCAGGGGAGGTCTTTGCCCCCTGGACCTATCCTTTTTTTTTTTTTTTTTTTTTTAACACATACTCACGAGACCTATCCTTTTTTTTTTTTTTTTTTTTAACACATACTCACGAGACTCCCATCTTACCACTCCTCTCGATATATCTCCTGGCGCACCCCCACTCCATTTCTATCTTACCTCATGCGAGGAACATCACTCTCTATCCTAATCCCCTTCCAACAAGGGCAATCAAAGCTGACCATCGTTACGATGCTATCAACAAATCACTACAGGATCCTATGTTGTAGGTGGGACACTGGACCCCGTTTCCAGCGGGTGCAGCTCCCCACCAATAGATTGCAGCCATTTTCTCCTTGAAAAAAAAGGAAAAAAAAAGGACAAGACAAGATGACAACAAGACGGAAGGCGGGTGATGGCCCGGGTGCGTTTCTCCTGTGTTCTTTTTTTGGTACTTATGGGACGCTGGACCCGGTTTCTAGCAGGTGCCGTGCCAGGGGAAGCGGCACCGGCTGGAACCCCGGGTCCAGTGTCCCTTAACTACAAAATCAATAGACGGAACCCGTGATGGGCAAGGTCCTGTTGTCGACTGCTCGTACCAGCAATAACAGCAGCCCCCTGCCGGTTTTTCTATACACCCCCCCCTCCCCCTTTCTTCCCTCAATTTTTTAGCTATGCCAGGCCCGGGTCCTGGCAGCTGTCACTCCTCACACCAATTGATTGGAGTGGTCGTGTTTAAAAATAATAAAGAACTTGAAAGAAGTTATGTTATTACCCTGGCCAATTTCGAGATACACATCCACTGGAAAGTACAATGCCATCCAATTGCAGAAAGAAATGAATGAACTTGAGAGGTGAGAGAGGAGTAGAAGAAGAAGAAGAAGTAAGAAAGAAGAAGAAG